CAGCTGTGTGGTAGGTTGGTTGTCTACAAATACATCTATGTCCAGAGGCTTTTGTGATATAGGACTCCTCACAGTAACAATGTCGTCTGATCAACAGGAACCAAGTATGGTAGTGTTCCCTAGTGCATATCTCTGAGGACTTGATTACTGCTTATAATTTTCGTTGTAAGAAACAGCAGGTCCTTAATCAAGCAGTGAAAGACATGATAGGAACCCATGGCAAATAATTGAAGCAAGATGCATGCAAAATTGAAAAAAAGACCTGATACTCTGAACAGCAGGGTGTTTAAACACTGGAAAAAATTACTGGGGAGAATATCTGTCTAAATGTCCTGAAGTAAAGGCAAACTCTCTTTGGAGACTGCTGTAGTCCAACACAGGTTATTGGACTTGATATAAGGTAACTATTTGAGTGTCACTGCTGTGAATTACAAGATGAGATGATCTGTTCTGACTTTTGTGCCTGAGCCCAACTCCTTTCTGGCCAAGTAATTTCTTCATTTCAAGTCCAGGAGTCCGATATCGTGGGGCTAATGTAAGACTTGCTACAGTCCATGACAAGCTGAGCTGTGGCGAGTGCTTGGCTGTGCCATGCAGCATGATCATGTAATTCATGAAGTCTGGCAAATACTATAGGTCATAGTGAATGGAGTAGGAAGTGATGTATCTATTTCAGATGTGGTCATAAGTTGAAACCTGATCCTGAAGTTAATGAGCTGGAACAGCTGGACTGTAAATAGAAGTCTCTTTCTTTCTCGCTGACCTTGATGTTGCAGTGTCATTTGTTGTTGTGAACTGTAATTGGCCAGCACCAGACTGGTTCAGTAGTCAAAATAGCATTTGCTGCTGGACAGGGATAGTTGGATGTCACCAGAAAGTATATCCAAAACCTCTTGCCAGATATTCTGTCTTTGCTGTGTAAACAATTCTAGGCTTTTTGGTTGGGTGTGTTATGTTGTTTTTTCTCGTCATTTCACTCCCTACCTGCCACATGATTTCCCAAATACATCTTCCATTGAAGTTATTTGCTGCATGTTACGAATTGCATTATATTGGTTGAGGTAGTTGCTCACTAACTCATCTCCATTTCTATTACTTACTCATTTTTAAGTAGTTACTATAGCATACATAAACTTGTTAATAGAATGCATATAAAACTGTCGCAGATCATTATTGACACAGTTAAAACAGATGCAGGAGGGAGAAAATACAGGAAATGACTGCATTTATTGATGCCTTATTTGGGTATTTCTGAAATGGAGCTTGGAGACATCTCATTTTGCCTGAAGGCATGTAGAAAACAGTATAGTGCAGTGTATTAGTTTTTTTGAATGGGCCAAAACCAAGTGTTGAATGGATAAGAAGTATTTGTAAGTGTCTTGGGACTTAGAAATTAGTTAACTTTTTTAGTACTTCTTGTGTTCATGGTATTTAGAGCTCAGGTGAGATTATTCTTGTTTGTGTGTCACCAGGCCTATATGACACCAGGCTTGACACCTTTGATTGAAATTAATTTGGAAACTGTTCAGTTTTCTTTTATAAATATGTACTTGTTACACTCTGTGAATGTATATATATTGGACAATCTAAAACTGATATAAAATATTACAGAGTCTTTTTATTAAATATAGTCCTTCAATAAGGATGTTGAGCAAAAGTTTGAGAAAAGAGACCAAGTGTCTTGGTCTGGACCAACAAGGGAAGTAAAAAAATATAATGAGACATCTGTCTTTTGGAAGTATTTTGCAAGAAGCTCTAAAAACATCCGATGAGAACCAGCTGATTTCAATCAGCATGCTGTCTTAAACAGGTAAGACAACTTGCTAGTTTATACTGCACCCAGAAATGACCAGAAGACTAATACATATATGAAGTACAGAGGTTGTGTTTCAGTTGGTTGTCAGGCTTTCATTACTCTGTATCAAATGAGGCTTGTGAATAAACGCATAGAAAAGACCATGAAAAAAGTCACTGTAGAAGTCATACAGGTATGACTTGTGTCTGTGATGCTAGTCTGAAAAATTAATGCAATTTAGTGCAATGGGATTAAATTTCATCCACTGTACCAGTGTGGGGATTCAGTAACGTTAGAAGGAGAGAAAAAAGTATCCATAAAGAGTATGGCCACAAAGAGAGGCCAAGACACGGTACTTAATT